TGCGTGCGTGTGTGTGTGTGCGTGTGCGTGCATGCATGTGTGTGCGTGCGTGCGTGTGTGTGTGTGCGTGTGTGTGCATGCATGTGTGTGCGTGTGTGTGTATGCGCGTGCGTGCATGCATGTGCGTGCATGCATGTGTGTGCGTGTGTGTGTGTGGCGGTGGAATCTCACTTCGCTCCCGCTTCTATGTTGCAGACGATCACTCGCTTCGATTATCGATACCTGAATCCTCGGCGAGGGAGGTCAGAGCGGTAAGTAACAGGGTAACTGGGTAACTGGGTAGGGTAGGTGCCTCGGGGAGCTTGAAAACCTGACCTTGTCGCAAACCGCTTTGCGCCCTAAAATACACCCTGTCCCAATATACTGCATTAAAAAGTACACCCTGTTGCAATATTGGACACTTCGGTTATGTCCTGTCCGCCTCTCAATATAGGCAGATATTGGTCAATATAGGTCAATATAGGTCAATATAGGCAGATATTGGTCCAATATCAGCCTGGTGATATTGGCCCAATATTGTTTTGCCAGTATTAGGCCAATATCAGCTTGATGGGTGCATGGGTATCTAGATAACCCTGTGCCGATGTGATAAACTTAGAATTGCTGTGAAATCGCTACATCTGCAGGAACGTGCAAAACTGCAATCCGTAGCGATTCTGGCCGCTTGCGATGCATTGCAAGAAATCGGGAGCTAATCATGACAAATTTGTCATTATTATAGCTCCTGAAGAAATCAAACTGTTTTCAGTTTGAGCGACTCGTCCGTCGCTCCCAATCGCGCCCAAATTGCTCTAGAATTGCCTCGAATTCGCATGTGTGCGCACACGCGGTGACACATCGACCGATCGCTTGCGGTTGCAGTCTTTGCCAAAAATTGCAGGTCTGCGCATTGGCTGAAAGCCTCTCCGTTTCGTTCTCGATCCGCTCTCACCGTCGATCTGTTCTCGATCCGTTTTTACCGTCCGACCCGCTTGTTAGCTTCGTTTTTGCGCCGTCACCCGTGGGCGTGCGTACGAGGCGACATCTGGCGTGCGCTGGCAAAAACGCAGACGAACGTTTTTCTCCCGAAAAACCGCGAGATAGTGTACCGGACTCTTAGATGGCCTCCGGCGTCGCTTCGCTACGTTAGCGGCAGCTGTTATTGATTATCCGATGACGAAGCGGGAGGACGTGGGAGCCATCTACGGGGACAGTACGTCAGTGTGCACGGAGGAACTGTGTGTGGGCGGGAGATTCGTACAGGAGAAGGAGGGGGAGGGGGAGGTTAGGTCTACGCGCGTAGGTGTAACCCCACGCTCTCTCGACTCTCTCTCTCTCTCTCTCTCTCTCTCTCTCTCGCTCTCTCTCTCTCCGTCTTGGCGTGAATCAATTATCGGCTGGCAAGCCAGACAAACACGCGAACGAACCCCCGCTGCAAAAAGGAGAGAGAGCGAGGACGAGAAAGAGAGAGAGAGAGAGAGAGAGAACGAGAGTCAGAGAGCGAGCGAGAGAGAGCTAGAGACAGAGAGCGAAACAGAGAGAGACAGAGAGCGAGAGAGCGAGAGAGAGAGCGAGAGAGAGAGAGAGAGACAGAGAGAGAAAGAGAGAGACAGACAGACAGACAGATAGATTCATGATGACATCGGTGCGGTAGCTTCTTCCCCCTCCTCACCACAACCACAGCCCCCCTCCCCCCNGAGAGAGAGAGAGAGAGAGAGAGAGAGAGAGAGAGAGAGAGAGAGAGAGAGAGAGGGTGAGAGAAGGGGGATGCCCGAGCATGAGTACTAGGGATAAGTGGATACATGATGGAGGCTGAAGGATGCGGGAGGAGAGGATGCTGTAACAGATGGATGCTGGAGGATGCGGGAGGAGAGGATGATGTAACAGGGACGGGTTATCCTGAGTCGAGTTACATTTGTCCTTGACAGTCGAGAGTGTGAGCAAGCAATGCATACGCACAGAGCGGGAAAGAGAGATGGAGAAAAACAGAGGAGAAAGAAAGACAGATAGATAGATAGATAGAAAGACAGTCGAGTTGTGTTTATCACCCGCCGGGGTTTTCTGTGATGTACCGTGGGTGCTCTATCACATTCTTCTGTCGGCGGCAGCAGCAGCAGATGACAGATGGCAACTGTCGTGTGATGCGGTATAGAGGGAGGATGCTGTGTAGAGTAGGATATGGATGTAGTGATGCGGTATAGAGAATGCTGGGGACCAATTCGTGAAGTCATGTGCGTACGTGCGTGCGTGTGTGCGTGCGTGTGGGCGTGCGTGGCAGGGGCGTGCGTGCGTGTGGGCGTGCGTGCGTGCGTGTGTGTGTGGGGGGCGGGGGCGTGCGTGCGTGCGTGTACATGAGTTTTGTCAGCGTGCTTGAGCGCGCGATGCATGCATGGATATGCGACTCTCTCACTCTTTCGGTTTGTCTCTCGTATTTCCTCTTCTCTCATTATTTCAAACGACTCGGCGGCGTTTATGGGCGCGTGGTAGCGTCACGTTACCTGTTTCCCTCTTCTAAGGGGCGTCTCTTAAACTGTTTCCTTCTTCAAAGCGGTATCTCTTAAACTGTTTCCGTCTTCTTGGTAGCGTCTCTTAAACTGTTTCCTTCTTCTTAGTACCATCTTTTAAACTGTTTCCTTCTTCTAAGGGGCGTCTCTTAAACTGTTTCCTTCTTCTAAGCGGTATCTCTTAAACTTTTTCCTTCTTCTTGGNACAGCCCCCTCCCCTCCTCACCACAACCACAGCCCCCTCCCCCGCCACCACCACCACCTCCCCCTACCTCACCACCACCACAGCCCCCTAACCCACTTGTAAGAAAACCACGTGTCATCATTATCTTTAACACGTGGTCACAGTAAAACAGCTGGTATTGTAATAAAATCACCATGAGAGTGATCAATAGAGAAAGTTGGTGGGAAAAATAGAGAGGGGGGGGGAGGAAAAGATGAAAGGAAGAAAGAGAGAGCGAGAGTGAAATAGAGGTGAGGGAAAAGAGAGGGGAGGGAAACAGAGGGGGCGAGAGACATATAGACAGAGAGACAGAGAGAGGGGAGAGAGAGAAAGAGATAGATAGATATAGATAATTAGATAGATAGTATAGATAGATAGATAAATAGATAGATAGATAGATAGATAGATAGATAGATAGATAGATAGATAGATAGATAGATAGATAGATAGATAGATAGATAGATAGATAGATAGATAGATAGATAGATAGATAGATAGATAGA